GAAATAGAGAAAAGGAGAGAAGAAGAAAAGGAAATGGAGAAAAGGAGAGAGGAAGAAAAGGAGAGAGGCGGAAAAAATAAAACAAAAGAAAAGGACTTACTTTGTGTGCTTTACAGCTGCAACTTGGATGTGGTTGATTTCAACGAGGTGGTACGCCCTTGCATGCTTGGTGTTAATCAAATTTTATACTATAAAACTTTTTAAAAATGATGATAGTGAAATTTTTATATAACCAAGAAATTTACGAACAATATCACAATAAATACGATTAAAAAAATATATATATATTTCGAAGAAATTTATTTAATAATTTAAAAATGACCAAGCGTATATGTATATTTAATTAAAAAATTGACAGTTACTGTATTTTGAGCAAAAATCCGATACATCCAATAGCAATGATATCTACACATTTGATTTATGCAAATGTGATCGTTTGTGCGCAAAGAAAAGGAAGCAAAAATAGTTTTAAAATTACTTGGCATCCAGTCACATGACCGCACCGCATCCTAATTACCGTGGTAACTTGCATTCAATTAGCTAGCCAATTATAGAAAATCGATATTTCTATATCGAGCACTGACAATCTATTGGAAAACATACTGGCATTTACTTTTACTTCTCGTCACGGAGGTCGACATGAAGTTATGCTCAAATAAGTCACAGCATAATATAGTTCATAATGATTATCTTAGAAAAAAAAAAAAAAAAACGGAAAACGTGTAATAAGAGATATTCAAGGAGTCAAAAGTGCCTGTATAAAAAAAGTTAGAATAATTGTAATTTCTTAATGGCTTTTATTCGAAAATAACAGAACGGCACAATTAACGCAAGACCATCATTATCTACATGAACTCAGAAACATCAAAATGAGATCTTGCTACGACATAGTCAACAGGATGCTATAAAAACGCGTCCCTCTTCCCATTCTTCTCTCCCAACCGTTCACACCCGAAAAAATATTCACATTGATCGGTTTTATATTTACCAATTACTGCAGCAACAGTCACTTTATGAAAATGAAGTTTAAACTTGCAATTTTGTTTCTCAGTCTAATATGCTGTTGCATTCGTTTGGGATCATCGGTGCCTTTATCGGAGAGGCATGGTCATCCAATCGATTCACTTTTTCGTACGGACATCTTTGAACCTTTTACACCATTACCCGAATACCCCCAAAACATAACTCGTAATTACACTTTCGAATTATTGAAAGTTTTTTTGGCTCCGGACGGGTTTGCTCGCCCAGTGTGGACTGTGAATGGACAGTGAGT